CTAGCAAGTACAAGAGCACAATCAGTGCAACCTGAAAACAAAAAACAAATCACATACATCAGGGGATTGGTAGAACCTCCGACTTCACCCCATCAAGATACGTATACAAAAACATAAATGGGGTGCAACTGGTTGAGGCGTCATGTCGGTGAAAGTGGGGCAGGCGTTGAACCCCCGACTTCAGCACCTGCACCACGGTCATACTAGCACCGAGAGTTAAGGCGTCCAGTCAGTGAAAGTGGTTCTACGAGGATAGCCAAAACTGACAAATTTGTGTTTCACCCATAACCATTTGTCCTACCAATTCTTCTTATGGGCCTTCTGGTTTATGATAAACGCATGGATGCTCCGCCGCTGAGAGAACATATGCACACTATACTGAGTAGTGGAGTTGAAGAAGTACTTGAAAGCAAGAATTGAGGGAGCACATCCAATGTTTGATAAGACATCTCGAAACCAACTATCTTGTTGATAGAATTAGGAGTTAGATCGTCAACAGCGAAGCCATATTGGCGCATGATCTCATTGAAAAAATCGGTTGTCAGCAGCTAGAGAACCACCTCGAAGATTGCGACTAGGACTCCGACCTTCCATTTCGGCAGCCGAGAAATATGTGACCCCTTCGAGGATATTGTACCCCATGTTCAGGATGAAATCCAAATTGGGCCTGAAGGGACTCAAACGCCTTTGGCGTAGGCTCGATTCCGGTGTTCGAACTTACCATCGTTTACAAATAACAAGTACAAGACGAAAGAGAAAATAAACAAAGATAAAGAAGAGGCAGTTGAAGAGCAGGAGAGTGAAGAAAAGGAAATTTTCCCCGATTAGGGAAGCATTAAATGAGAGGATGGAAATTTGAATGGTTGCAATGATAAAACCGTTTGTGCAGCGGACTCCGTCAGATCAGTAGACGTCAGAGCCATCTTCGCTGAAGACGTGCCTTGATCTAAGCTACAACAACCCAGCTACCTAAGGCTAATTCTGACGTTGCTATCCTAGGGGACTTGTTCCCTCTAGGAATACGTTAAAGATAACGAGACAGTTATCTAAAAGACGATCTAGCTAACAGTCGTTACCCAGCATAAGTGTTAGGCATGTGCCCTCGCCCTCACAATCTCACACTTAGCCCCCGACACTCTAATGCCAAGGTCCAACTCAAAACAAGCAACCCCGGTCTATAACAATCCAAATAGTACCAACGGCTCCCTAGACCGATACTTATAGTGCTTAGAGCGCTATTCTTCGGTGGTTCTACGCCAATAGTAGATAACCGCTAGTGGTGAATGATCTGTCAATGGGACGCCACCACATCCTGACGGTCCAGACAAGACAAAAGTTATTGTCAGGGACATGCTCCCATGACGACGGGTATAAAAGAGATAAAAGCGATCCTTCTTCTTTAGAAAAAAGAATCGCCTCTTTCTCTATCTCAAGCTAAACCCTAATTCTCTCATATAAACATAAAGGTAATTATAACAAAAGCTTTCAAATCATATAAACTAAAGCTCGCTTGAAGCATTTAGGATACCTTGGGTTGGAACCACACACCATCACATAAAGGTAACAATTAAGACAACTCATTAGAATTAGCTTCGACTCATTCAAATCGAAATTATAAAGATTTGACGAGTTCTTGTTCAAATGTTGTTCAAAATAGATGTTGCAACTGCTTTTTACCTTGTTTGTTAGGACCATTGGGATCTACAAAAGTATAGAGGGTTAATAAATAGGAAATTCTTATTAGTAATGTGAGGAATTGATTGAGTGCAAACTTAGGGGTAGGTATGCCATCTTGGAAGAAGATGTGCCAACCTTAGAGAAGTTGCACCATTCCATGCACATGATGCACCATCTTAGTGCAAGGTATGCCACATATGTTCCTTGATGTGCCATGGTATCCCTTCATGTGCCACATATGTTGTGATGTTTACTATGATGCTCAAGATTTCCCACGGACGCTTAGAAGTTGAAGATGCTCAAGGATTATTGCATGAAGTTCCACCATGATGGTTGATGTGCCATGATGATTTTGATGTGTCACTCTTGCATCATGATGTTCCACTATGTATCATGATGCTCCAACATGTGTTTTGTTGATGCTCTTGCAATGCATATTTGAGGATGAATCTTCCAGAAGCTACTTCATGGCGGATTGTGATTGGTTTCCACCATTCATGGGCATATGGGCCAATGGGCTTGGCCCATTAAGGTTTAGATATGATCCTTTCACTTTAAATAGAGATTCATGTTGGTCATTTGAATGTGTCTTTTGTATCCTTAGTGAGTAAGTCGAATCTCTGTTGGTTGTACTTCTCATCTCTATTTGAGAACTCTATGTATAAAGCATACTCCCCTCCAACCTATGGGCGTAGGTCACCTTGACCGAACCACGTAAATATTGTGTCTTTGTGAGCTTTTGGTTTCGTGTGTTATCCACAGTACTTCCTAACAAGGGTCATCAGAACTTGGCAAGTGGCATCAGATTTGTTCTAAGTCTTGACAAGTAACTTCTGGTTTCTTTAACAGTTTTCTTATTGACTATTTCAACACAAATTTTGACGATGAACGCCCCTGGTTCAACCCTTACTTACCACTTGCTAACTGATCATCTATATCACGTAGATTGATTATCAATACAGTTATCATATTGGTAATTCTACTTACAAGGGTAGTGTCTACAATAGTTATGTTGGCTTGGTTGTTGGATTTCCGAAATGTTATATATTGAAAGGGTCCCCGACTGCCTTACCTATTCGTTCTTTATTTCATACTCAACGCATTATAGTGCAATTGATGAAAGATTTGGGGTGATATAATGGATGGGTTACATAAGGTTTGCAAGGTTTTATTTTTGACGCATCAACAACTACGATCAAGAAACTACACCAAAGCAAATCTTTTACCAACCTTAGAAAATTTCTAGTAATGTATATACCTACGACTTTACCAAAGGTTTCACATATAACCGATAATTCCTTAGGTTCTAAATTCATAGGGAAGCTTGTTTTGTAATATGGCATAAAATCTTATCAAGATCCAAGAAGTTTGAGTTGAGCTTTTGTTCGTGTGAATTTGCCTTGTCCACCCAAATCTTCTCAAATATTGCATTCATACTTTTGAATCTCTATTCCAATCCTTCATATTCGATTGATCATGCCCTACATGATCCATCAAAACACAACCCTCTAATCATTCATCTTCGATTGATCATGCGTACATGGTCCATCAAAACACAACCATAATTCCATCGGGTAACAATCCTCGAATTTAGATTGACTAGTAGGCAAATACAATCACCTTGAGTGAACCCCCTACCGAAGAATATGTCGGAAAAGCAATTCAACATTATATCATATGGTTCCTATGGTTCCTAATGGTTTCTTTAAGTAATATAAAGCACGAGTTGGCAACAATTTCAACAAGCCGAAAATCGATTGCCACAAAACTTTCAACATGGTTGTTAAATTGGTTACCATATGAACCTTACTTAACCTTTTTGTGTCTAAATAATGGCATATACATCAACTCGTCGTCAAAAAAATCATTTTTACACGATCACTTACAAGAAATTGCATGTATGCACCAACCCATAGGGTTTGAGACATCTCATGTCTGGATCATTTTTCTTTGTCAAAAATTCTTTATATGGTCTCGAGCATGCACCACATGTTTGGTACCAATGTGTTTAGGATTCCATTGGCACCACTAATTTCATATGTAGCATTTGTGATCACACGCTATTTATTTATAGAAATGACAATGGCATGACGTACCTTATACTTTACGATGCCAACATTATTCTCACCACTTCCTCTATAACACTACAACACTCTCTCATGGTATTGCTAGCCCGAGAATTTCCTATAAAAGATCTTGGACCACTTACTTTCTTGGAATTTCCATCCAACATCATCAAAATTGTCTTCTTTTTTTTTCTATGTCAAACAAAGTACGTCGAAGAAATAACTAACAGTTCCGAATATCTACTTACAAACTGGAAACAAGCCTCATCGATACTCTTCCAAGTTAAACTCTCAAGCCAAATACCCGTTTCCCAATCCAATTTACTATCATAGTCTAGCTATCCCTCTACAACATCTCACATTTACAAGACCAAATATAACCTACGTCGTTCAACATATCCGGCTTCATATGAACATTCTCCACACGACTCACATGAATGCACTAAAACATATAATTCACTACATCCAAGGTACGCTCTACCTCGACTTACACCTCACCAAATCTCAATCAACGTATCTTCTCTCATATACATAAGATTGGGATGGTGTCCGAATACCAAACTTTTGACCTCCGATTATTACTATTTCTTGGTGACAACCTTATTTTGTGGTCCTCCAAAAGACAACCTACTTTATCTTGTCTAGAGTCGTGATGCTATCATTCTTGATTAGGTTCATGAAGCCTTAAATGCTAAGGAAAAGATGGAATAAATTGTTTCGGGTGGTTCATGAGCTAAGGGTTAGTGGTTTTTTTTTTTTTTTTTTTGGAAAGGAAACTCCCCTAACAAGGATTTTGGATCAGCTTTCATTCACATCCAATCCCCCGCTACAAACATAGTTATGTCTCATACTCTGGAGGAGTCACTACAAACAAACATCCACAACCAAAGGGGCTAGATACTGCCAGGAAATGTCTTTGTGATTTAGGTCACTTATCTTTTCCTTATACTCAATAGAACCTAGAAAATTTTTATTCTACATTTTACTAAATCATGAGTGAATCTTAACCCCTAAAATGATATGCTATAATTTGTGGCATCCACCAAGCACCATGGCATATAACATATGCTAGATTTTGTTCATTTAAGTCGACTAGCCATTTTTTTCGAAGCTACGGCCTATGAAGAATCGATATAGCAAGCCACGGTGAACACCACGTAAGTTTAAAATCCACTTTAATGGTCTAACGAAACATTATAAAAAAAAAATACAAAAATATAAAATAAAAATAAAAATATAGTTTAGTAGTATATTTAAGTCCACTTTAACGATGATAAAACATAATCAATAAACTATAAACCATATATCAATTAACCCAGTTAAGTTTCTTCACAAGAAAGTCAAAGAAATGCCTGAAAGAAAAAAGTTACACCACTCACCAATTTGAGAAAATGCAACTTCACTCAATCTACTAAAACAAATACTCAGACAACTTCTCTTCATCAACATTCTCCGCGAGTGCATGTGAAGGGGTAAAATCGTCTTTTTACATGCCCCGGACCCAATGAGAAGAATACTAATAGCATTAGTTTTTCTCAAACCAATGCCTCTGAGCTACATAAACCATTTCACTCAGGAAAAATAACGAGCTTCACACCGTTTCATCCGTTTCTGGTGACTCAGTAACAATTTCAGATTGAGTTCCGCCAACCGAGTCAACCGGGACCGACTTGTTATTTTCCTCACCACCATGAGTAATTACAGATGGAGATTCCACCGAGTCAACCGGGGACACAGGATAACCTGCAGGGAAACCGAAACCGTTTATCGCGATCGGGTAGCCTTCAGGTGAAACCAGGTAACCATGCGGGACCCACGGTTGACTCGGTATGAACTCAGCTGCATGCGGGTTCATGATTCGCGGGTCATGGAATGCGGGTTTAGTCCGTGGGACCCGGGAAAGGCGTGGACCGTATGGGACCCGTGCAGTTGCTGACTGATGTGGCGATCTACGTGTCGGGTTGACCGTCAGCATAGTGGGGATGATGACAGGTGGCGGTAATATTCCTCCTTGATCTTTTGAAGATGGACTAAACGGAGGTGCAGCTGCTGATAACTTCTTTGTCATCTCTTTTCCATCATTTCGTGTTTTTTCATCTTTTTCCAATTCCAAAGCTTCCAAACCTTCATTCTCTGGTTTCCCGGAATCGGAATCAGATTCCGGAATAGCTTCAGTTTCTTCCTTCTTTTCATCAATCGTTTTTTCCTTTTCCTTTTCCTGTTCTGAAGATGGAACAACTTCTTTCTCGGGTTTTTCGATGTTTTCGGTTTTGGTCGCCGGAGAAGGTTGCTCCGGCGACTTCTCCGCCACCGTTACCGCCTTGACGATGGTGCCAGGTGGAGCTAAGGCGACTTCTTTATACGAGAAGAGTTTTCCGGCTTCTTTGACACTGATGGAACGTATAGCCGGACTTAAAGGAGTTGATTTTGGGCTGAAGCTTGCGCTTTTAACGAACTTCTTGGCGGCAGTAGGTGGAGGTCCGGCGGAAGTACCGGATTCAACAGTGGTGGTTCTCGGGGATGTGAAATTAGCGGGTTTTGACCGATACTTTGTGTTTAGTTTTGCAAGATTTGGTTTTTTAAAAGTTGAAGATTTACGAGCTGCTTTAGAAATAGCTTCTTGCCATCCTTCATCTGAGTTTTCCACTTCTATAATATCATCAATCATTTGTTGTTCCTTTTCAATCAAATCTGGTTTTGCATCCTGTTGTTCAGATTTGATCTCTTTATGTGGAACAGGAGGTTTTGGTGATGATACTTCTTCTGTTAATGGAACCTCATTCACCATGGATTCCTCATTTTGTTCTGGCTTTACTTTAAGCTGCAAAATCGTAAAAAAAATAATAATAGTAATATTAATATTAATATGCTTTTTGTAAGACATGAAATTACAAGAGGGAAAAAAGATACCAGTTTTGCACGAGTTTGTTTCTTTTGGGCTTTCATATCTGCATCTGGGGCTATATAATCGAGTAAATCGGATACACTGATTCAAGAATTACAAAAACAAATGAAGAAACTCATTTAGACATTAGAATTAGTTCTAGACAGAAGGGTAAAACAGTAATTTAATCTCAACCTCAAATGGCCTTTGCTAGATATAGATGCATCAGGTTTTGGGGTACCATGGCGTGCAGCTTCTTGTTGTTCAAGAGCCTTGGATTCAAAGTATTCAAGCCATGCAGCTGCATCCTACAATATCTTACATGCTAAGTAAAAAAAAAAAAACTAAAAAAAATATCAATTTACTTATTTAGTGTTTTTATTGTATGTTTTAAGTTATAAAATACCTGAGTACGAAGATCTTCAAGTCCAAGTTTAGATTGAAGAATCTGCAGAGTAGTCTGTTCATGCTGAACACTCAAGGAGTATGCTTCCATTAAAGAGAGAGCAATTGCTATAGCATGATAGCTAGCAGCAGTCTGACAAAAAGATGAACATTAGTTAAAACATTAAGAGAGAGAGAGAGAGAGAGAGAGAGATTACTTGAATGTGATCAGCTCCAAGAAGCCTTTGATTACACTTGAGAGCTTCATGAAGGTATCTAAGGGCAACATGGACATTTCCTAAACCTTCTTCCATCATTGCAACATTGATATAAGTAGCAGCAGTATTCGGATGAGAAGGTCCACATGTTATATGTAAAAGATACAATGCACGATTCACATACCTTTAAAAAAAAAAACACACACACACACACACAGTTAGTTAAACATGATCAATCTTATAATTAAAAAAAAAAAAAAAATGAAAGTAGAAAGAAATGTACTTTAGAGCTAGCTCTGTGTGTTGGAGTCTATAGTAGAAAACAGCTAAATCACCATAACTTTTCATTGTATCTGGATGATCAAGTCCAAGCTCCCTCTCATTAATATCCAAAGCTTTTTGCTGATAGATAGTAGCCTAAAGCATTCACATAGTTAATATCAAGCTTAATTAGATTTGTATATAACTATCTTTTTAAAAAAAAAAAAGGAAAAAGAAATGAGTTTAAATATACATATATATTTACCTGATTAAAGTCTCCAGTGTGATAGAGCACTACAGCCAAAAGACTATATGCTCCTGCAGTCATTCGATGGTAAGGACCACAGACATATACAAATTTTGCAAGTGCCTACATGAAATTTTGTTCAAATAACATAAAATATTAGAATACAATTACTATAAGTATAAAAAAATAGAGATTAATAATTTACTATGTTACCTTAGTTCCATAGTTAACAGCATCCTCCAGTTTTCCTTTATCCAAAGATGTTTTAGATGACTCCAAAAGTGTACGTCCATCAGCAGATGAACATGCAACATGCTGTAACAGAATATTTCACATGTTAAATTCTCCATAGTTAACAATAGGAAAAAGTAACTAAAAAAAAAGTCATATGTTTTATTTTACCTTATATATAGGAACCATGCTAATTATATCTGTTTTCATGAAAGGAGATTCAGAATCCATATCATAGTCTCTAGGAACAAGCTCAAGACCAACCTAATGACAAAAGTAAAAAAAAAAAAAAAAAAAAGTAACAAAATTAATATTTCATGAAGAAAAAAAATGTTGTAAAGAGATTTTTAAACATTAAACATTTAAACTTACCTTGTGTGAAAGGCCTCGAAGAAGGGAAAACTTACGAAGATTTTCAGTGTGATATTCGGTTTTCCATTGAAATGAAAATCTCTTTGATAAAAAGCATTCAATCCACTTCCATTTGAAGTCATTGTTATTTCCTAACAATAGATTTAAGCATGATGCTATTGTCACAGATAAATCTGTAATATTGTCAACTGATGAAATAACTGATTGTAAGATATGTTTGTAAGCTCGAACAACCATTTCATGGATACAGAGTGATTGAACATGAGGAAGCTTGTCTGCAAGCTCAACCTAAAACAAATAATTTTATGTCATTGTTATTGACTTATTTCTAGCCAATAATAATAATAATAAAATAATAAAATTACCACTCGCCCTAAGGAGCACATTCGCAAACCCCTTGTGTGCATAAAATCAGTAAGAGTTCTTCCATCAACAGGTGAAAGTTCAAGTGAACCAAAATCAGCCACCTAATGAAATATCAAATGACACCTATCAATCATTTTTGGTAAAATAAAATAAGCGAATGATAATTGATAATTGATAATTGATATTCTTCTCATAAATTTAATAATGTAAATCAACTAACCAACTTTGGGAGAGCAGTATCTTCATAGTACTTATGTGCCATTTGAATTAACTCATCAGGTGACTACAAAAATAAATGAAAATTTCAAATTAGACCAAAACAATAAAGAGATTTTAACTTGCATCAAGCAAGTTTGTATTAGGAAAGGACCATTTTTGTAATTTTTTAAAACATGCAGACCGTTTTTGTGAAAAAATATTAACATTGACCTTTTCTATAAACTACAGGGGCCGTTTTTGCAATTTATTTTCTATGTAGGGACCAAACGTAACTTTTGTAAATTTGTTATTAGGAAGGGCATTTATGAATTTTTTTTTAAACATATGATGCACCAATCCTGTAAATATAATTCTGCAAAGGGACCTATTCGGTAAATTACATGGACCGTTCTTGTAATTTATTTTCTATGTAGGGACCAAACATGTCAACCCTGCAAAAATGCCAATATACAAAAGGTAAAAGGATTGAAAATGTCGATGTTTAAATTTAAGGGGGTAAAAGTTAAAACTAACACTTTACAACGTACAGGGGTGGAAAGTGGCATTTGACAAAGTAACAAAGTGAGAAGTGTGAACACACGAAAATATAGGGACCAAATCTTCCAACATAAAAAATTTTGTGACCAAAGTTTGAAATAAGAAAGTTTTGAGGCCAAAGTTTAAGGTCATTCGTGGCCAAAGTCTAAAATAACAAACTTTTGTGGCCAAAGTCTAAAACAATAAAACTATACTATTCATAAGCTCTTTTGTTTTAATATACATAACAATTCAACCTTAATAACAAAACGATAAACCATTATACATTTTGTTTGTTTGACCAAAAAGAAAACCAATTTTCCTAGTTACCATGTTTCGAAAGGCTAAAAGATATAAAAGCACAATGTAGTTTCTTCGTTTTACCAATTTACCCTTTTGAATTATTATTATTTTTCCTAGAATAAAACAGAAAGTAAACCAACCTTAAGGTGGAGACCAGTATCTGATTCTTTAAGGCGCAAATAGGCTTCTTCAGTAAGCAGTTTTCTCCACATTATTTCCTTTTCTTCTTCATCCACCTTTTTCATCTCTTCAATATCATCTGATTTATTGTTTGTTGTAATTTCCTGTTCAATTTTGTTGCTTTTATCATCAGATTTTTTCTTAATTTCCTTCAGTAATCCCTTTCCTAAACCCTTAACAGCTGATTTTGGTTCTACTTTAGCTTTAGATTCTGATTTTCCAGAAGCTTGGTTTTGTAAATGTTGCATCCAGCATGCTCCAAGTTCCCATCTGATAGATTTTAAGTTTCTAGAATCTTCTTCTTCTTCCTGCATTTTCTGCAGACTTTCCTCCATTACTTTCCTCACCAAAAGCTTTGCAGATTGCAAATCTTCAACATCTGCACCCTGAACTCTTTGTATTGGTGTAGATGATGACTTGTGTAATAGCATTCTCAAACTGAAAAATAATGAAAAAAGAAATTAGCAAAACCAAAAATCAAATCAAACGTAATTTCATTTTTTTTTAAAAGAAGCATTTTTTGACATACCTATTGACATTCAAAGCATTAGCACCTCCTTCAGGTTGATCCTCAATTTCAATGTCTTGAGGAATCGATTTTTCATCAAAATTTTCTTCAGCTTCAACTTTAACAACAGCTGTATATCCACAGTGTCTAACAACCACTATGCCTAGAGTAGAAGTATCCTTCATGAATCATGACAACAATAGCATTAATCAGAACAAAAAAATGTCAAAAAAACAATTTCTAGAATATATAATTGAAGGGTTAAATGCACTAACATGAACTGTAGTGCTCTCATCTGCTGTTATGCCTTTAAGCAAGTTTCTTTTAGAATCCAGCTTTGTGTTTGCATCTGAGAGATCTTTTGTAACCCTAATAACCAAATCTCCAACTTTCTCCTCATGTAAAACTGATTTGGTAGAACTTTTTGAGGAAAAATTGCTACTTTCAGCAAGATTTTTAATGGCAGAAACTGCTTTTAACACTGAAATGTCGACAAATAGGGAGTGAAGTAGAAAAGCTTTCCTATCTCTAACTTGTCTTTCTTCTTGAGTTTTACAAGGCATTGCTGCTAGAATTGAAAACTCTTTTGCCCATTGTCTATCGTCATATTTACCATCTCGCCCTTGTCCACCACCATTCCCTCCCCAATTTTCATCTTCTACAGGAAGTGGTGGAAAAAGTGAGGGATTATCAGCAACAATTGGAGGAACAATCCATGTGTTTGCTCTAAAACCATATGGGAGATTTCCAAACTGAGACAAGAATACAAGATAAAGATATTTTCACAATGGAAACTTGCTTAAAGTTTTGGTGGCAAAAGCGTAAATGTGACTTACTTTGTTGTGGTCAATGAATGCTTTCATGAGAGCTTTGTATGCCTGCAATTTAAGACATTGAATCAACTTTATAGCAATGAGAGCTTTGTAGTCTTAAATCTTAATACACCTCTCTATAATAGCTTAATTTAAGCCATTGAAGCCAAAATATGCAAACAATGAATGAATCATGGTGACACATGTCAAACAAGTAAGATATTACTTACACCATTAAAGATTCGGCTTATTTGCTGCAGTAGACCAACTAAAGAATGAGTTAAAAGAATACGTTTTCCAGCTGGATAGAACCCTTTCTTAGAAGCAACAATTGTCATTGGTTTTCCACTAGAAATTCTTACCTGAAAAAGGGAAGTAGATATCAGTGGAATTCACTTTAGTGGTTCATATAGGCATTATGAGCTTTAACATGTCTAGAGAACATTGGTATCTATATTTAGTGAGAGCAAGTATACAATGAAATGCTCACATCAATTTGGAAGAAATCATCGTTTGTTTTATCTTCAAGGAAGGGTCTAGTAGATCTCCTAATGTCTGCAAAACAAGTATGTTAGATATAAACTCTTTGAGTTTGATAAAATAAGATCAAGAATAGTTCATCCATCACAAAGGAAATATATACAATTTGAGATCTGAGCCAAGTAAGTTACTCACTAGTTTCAGTTCATTATGTAATGCCATGTTTGACTTTATGCAAATTTAGGAAAAAAATGACTATATAAACATTAACATTCGTTCAAGAAATTATATGACTTTTTCATTCTTTTCTTAAACCTTCAGATGTGTGCATCTCTTTTGGTACACTAATGACATAAAGAATTAATTTTAACGTGAAAAATGCGTTCATTAGACGTTAATAGACTGATCAAATCAATATAAAGCGTCAAAAATCAAAATCAAACCAATGCATATCTTTTTATGGAAGAAATGGAGCGGGTAAACAGAGACCAGCTAATTTTAAAGAAGAAAGTAACTAGAAATTAGCTTTGATGACATAATAGAAGAGAAATAGGAGAAAATATAGATAATTTTGCAGAAAGGGGAAGAGAAAAACATTTACTATTTAGCTTGAATGAAAAAATAGGACATACATTGGATGGGTGGTGTGAGATGAGAGAACGAGAAGAAGTCGTAGAACTGCCCAAGCCTCGGCGGCGGGTAAATCTCCGCCATGGGGTCACGGTCACCCTTGTCAGACTGATCGGAACTGATGGAAACTTCCGTCTCCGGCGATTTGGCCCCACTACTCGACTTCTTATCCTGACTAATCTCTCCATCACTGGAATCTGGTCTGTTAGTTGTCGCTCGACTGGAGGTGGAGGCGGCATTCTTCGGAGTAGACGAACCACCGAAAGCGGTGGTGCAGGCGACGATATCCAGCAATCGTCTGATGTGTGCGATGGCGAGATCTTCGGTGTAATCCTCTGCAAAGTATTTTTGATGGTATTTCCATTTTAACCCCTTAAAGTTTAAAAGAGTTGACAATTAAGCCCAAAGTAATTTGAGTTAAGTGTTTACCTTCAACGACTGTTAAGTGACATGGTTTTAGAGAGGCTGTTTCAACAGTATCTTTTAGCCTGGGTCCACGCACCTATTAAAAAATCAGAATTTTATTTATATGAAAATACAACAATAATAAAATTTTTGTATTTTTTTCACCTTGTTAAGATAATATTTTGATAAAAAAAAATAATGATATTACTTTAAGTTACATCAAATTGTAATTAGGATTAATTTAAATCTAACAAGCATTTAAGACCACTGAATATGAATATGTAAGAGCAAACAAATTATCCTTTTAAGAACAAAGCATATTGTGAGGTTCCATATATTATGGTATGATGTGTGTTCAGTCATACTACATAAACTACATAAGGTTGAGCAAGACTTTGAAATTTCCAACCCAAACCGGCATCGATTATATTAATATAAACCGGTATTCGATATTTTAAAATCATAAAATTCAGGATTTATTGTCAACATAACTTCTAGTACCAGAAATTATTGATAACATGAATTCAATGTGGTTTGAGTTTTTATTCATATCGGTACTCAGGATTCTCGGGTACCAAAATAAATGAAACTATTTCAAAAAAAAATGTAACGTGAACCCATGCAAAACAACTCTATTTTCCGATATTTGAAGTATTTAAAGCTCTTGCTAATTAAAGATAAATAAATGTACATGCTAAAGATTAAATCATCTTATATAAAATGATAAACCAAATGGTTTCTAGCTCAATGGTATCAGGTGTTGTTTTTTCTCCTTATGGTTGAGGGTTCAAATCTCATCATGAATATAAATAAATTTAAAGAATAGTTTATAAGTATGTTAAATTTATCATTAATTTATTATTAGGTTTAAGTTCAAAACCTCGAACATAACAGTATTAAAGCTTTGTTTTATAGGAATAAACTAGGTTATTATATAATATCATAAAGTTATCACAATATATAGTGTTTAATGAGATCCTTAAAATAATTTATCAAATTAGTTTAATTAAAAGCTATTTGAGATAGCTTATTTATTTGAGATAGCTTATTGATAAAAACTCATAAGATTTTTTCCATTAGTTTTTAAAATATAGATTTATTTGTTAGCTTCTAATTATATATCAAAATGGTTTTTATATCATTTTACACTTGTCATCTATCTATTGGCTAGTTTAACTAAATATTATTACTATATCACCTATCAAGTTAGTTTATCTAGCAAAAACTAGTCTTTCTGTTAGCTATCAAACAAAATATTAACTATATCGATTTTTATAAAGTTTTTGTTAAAAAAAAAATGCCTTTTCATAGATGTGATGTATATTTCTATAAAATTAAAATCTAAAATAAAAAATAAAATAAGATAAAAAAAAACATTAAAATTTTATTACGATGTTTTTCAAATCTATATTAAATTCTGACATTTAAATTTTAAAATAGATTATTAATCTCATATATAATTGTTACAAATTTTGTAATATATAACTATAATAGATTCACTCTATATAATAAAAAGAAAAACTTAGAATTCTAAAACACTTTTGTTCATAATCCAAAAACAAAGAGAACCTTTATTTATATATATATATATATATATATATATATATATATATATATATATATATATATATATATATATATATATATATATATATATATATATAATATATATAAAAAATAAAACGATGGAATAGTATCATAAAATAAAATTACCAAACTTTTATTTAGACAATATAATTAGTTTTTTTAAACCATAAGAACCAATTTTGCAATTGTCTTTTTTAAATGATTATAAAATACGATAAAATTAGAAGTACATTTAGCATGAGGTAGCATCGATGTGGTTGTGGTTGGCTTTTGTTTGAAATTGGTAGAATTGACAAAATTGTGAATCTGAAACAATTTTTTATGCTTAGCACATATGATCTCATAGAAGCTTTTGATATGCAAGTGAGAGAAAGACAAATAAAACCAAAAGATATCCAACTTAAAACGGACATAACTTTCGATTCATAAAGAATTCGAGGTGTGTGATATATCGACGGAAATGATTGGTGGGTCGGAGCTCTTAATGGGTAGACAAAGTTATAATGTCTTACAATCAACCCTCAAATTTCACTTTTTAGGCCCCAAAATCTTAATTTTCCCTAATTTTCGCACGATTTCCGTTTTTTTACTTTATTTAGTTTTAACGATAAAATATTCGTTTTCATTATTTTTTGAAATTAGTTTTCTTATTTAGGAGGTTATTTAATAGAATTTATTGTTGATTTTAGTCTTTCAAATTTGGTCATGCCTACCAAATTTAGTATTTTCCTTTATAAAGGGTCATTTGTAAACCGTTATTATTGTTTCGTTCCGCATCACAATAAATAAAAAATAAATGGTCTTAAAAAATAAAAAATAAATAAAAACCCTTATATTATAGATGTTCTAAGATTATCATTTTGATAATAGATTTTTATTATTTAATGTTAATGAAAATTTGATATAGCAAAATAAAAAAACTTTCAAGAGCAGTTAATATTAAGGATGCTTTTATAGATAGGAGTGTACGAAAAAAATAAAAAACCGAATAAACGTAACTGAAAATAAAACTTTTTTGAAAAACTAAAAGCTTGATTTTTGGTTTTTTGTTTTTAGAAAAATTAATTCTTTTCGAGATTCAATTTGATTATCATATGTGTCCCTAAATAATCAAAAGTAATGTTATATATAAGTTTAATTGATTGAGTATATTAAAAACTAAAATAATTGGCATGGTCCTTATTGAAAGATAAATAATAAATATCTTTTTTTACACATTTTTGTATTTATTTTGTTAGATTATTATAGCCAAGGATATGTTCTTTTTTTCCCAAAATCAATCATCCAAACCATAAATCGACAAATATAACTGCAGTTTCGTATTGCGGAATCGTGGCTTTGTTTACGGTTTCGTGGCCGATCAGCTCGTTATATTTAAACTCTAAAAATTTGACCACATTTAACATTAAAAATTTACGAAAATTCTCTATGATGATAAGAGATCGGGGTTCTAATTAACAATGCTTTAAGTAATCTTATATATCACTTTCTTGATTGTTTTTTTATCACGTAGGTTGAAATGTAATAGTATTTTTTATGACTTTTGTCCAAAATTGAAAAAAAAAAAAAAATAAATAAAAATAATAATTCAGATACTACGGCCATCTACGATCATATAAGTTTTAATTTGTAAAATGTATTAATGACATGTACATTCGCAAGTGGTCATGCCATCAACAATTTCGCTCATCTTTCGTTATGTGAGGTGTCGTTCTTATATGTTATCCTATAATCATGTAGTAGTATTTTTTTATTATGAATTTGCAGTTTAAATATCATATTACAAAAAAATGTTGAAATAGCAAGTGAATTGAGACGAAAACGCATGCCATCTGCGCTTTGGTGTATGGAACGAAATGCAATTGAATTTTTTTTATATAGCAAATATGAAAACGAAGATGCTCGACAATTCCGGAGATGGCTCGACAAAACAGAAAGTGTGTTTGACTGATATGTGGTTTTGATGGCTAGTGTTGAAAAACACTTATTATTTTCTCTTATTATAGAGAATAATTAAGAAAAATGGCTTAGAATTGTCATTTTCTCTTATTATTTTTGTTAAGCTTTATAAACATGATTAATAAATAAACCGAAAAAATATGAAAATAAAAAACAAAAAGTCCAACCATAAAAACATTAATCTTTGATTGAAAAACCAAAATTTAATCTCAACTTAAAAATAATCCGACAGGTTATTGTTGTGTGCGGAGAAAAACTATTACATATCAACCATTTTCTAAAATAAAAGTCCGAACCTTTTGATTTTGTTTTAATTTAGTCAAAATTGATCCCCTAATTAAAGATGTTTAAGATCAAACATTACTTAATTTATGCGCCGTTAAAAATAAAAAATAAATAAATAAATAAATAAACCTTAATTTATGAAAATATTAGGTAAGAAAACCTAATTATATGTCAAAAAGGGTGTGCAATTGGGGGCGAAAATTAAGTGCTGATTTATGGTACCTCATGTGACAAGGAGTAACTGGTCAAGTGGCATGCCTCCACGTGGACCGCTAAAAGCTTCCTAACATCTAAGATCTTGTCCGTAGATATTCCCTGTTGTCAATGAAACGAAATTAGAAAAATAAAGAAGGTAATATAATTTTTTATTTTTATAGATTTGATAATTGAGTTTATTTTATTTTATTTTTATATTTATCCCTTCATTTTATTAAACTGTACATACTCAGTCTTTTTAACCGATTATTCTAGGTTAGCCAGTACAAATGATTTAATAAAATAATATATTTTTTACTTTGTATATATTTAGTACTTAATATTTTTGTACACATTTAATCTTTATTTATTTATTTTTGCAAAATAATTTATTTTTGTTTTTGTACTCATTCAATACTTATGAATTATTTCTTTAGTTTTCTCACATCTTATGTGGAACAATCATTAACGAGATGTTTTAGGTTTTTTATGTTTATGTTCATCGTGATCTCGACTATTTGGTTGCTTAGATCATGTGTTTTGAATATCATAACTTTTCATATTATCTCAGATTTTAACGATCTTTATATCTATGTGTTTGTATTTTTGTCTACTACAACTTTCGTTTATATTTCTCCCGTTAAAAGTAATATATATTTTTTACTTACGATATTTATATCCATACGTTTTTGATGAATGCATGTATGAATGTTTTTTATATAAAATGGTAAGTAAAAAATTATTATATTTTAACGGGAGTAATCTTAACGAAAGTTATAGCAGACTTAAAAAACGAACATGTGGATATAAAGATCGTTAAAATCGGATATCGTATGAAGAATGTACGACGTTCGGAACACAAAACCTAGGTCAAACCACAAGACCTATGCAACAAAGCAGTCGAGGAAGCGGTGAACATAAGCATCAACACCCCCAAACACCTCATCAATGATAGTCTCACGTAAGATGTTGTGAGAAAAACCCTAAATAAAACATTCATAAGTACTGAATCGGTACAAAAACAAAAAGAGACTTATTTTGACACCAAATATATATATATATATATATATATATATATATATATATATATATATATATATATATATATATATATATTAAAGACTAAATGTGTACAAAAATATTAAGGATTAAATGTATCCAAAATTATAAATATATCACCATAATAAGTCATTTTTCTCGGCTAACCTGGAGTAACCGATCATAAGGACTGGATGTGTACAGTTTAACAAGTTAAAGAGGTAAATGTGGACCAAAAAAAATCAGTGATCAAATATATACAAATTAAAAAACATATTACTCTTTTAAGTCATTATTTCGAAAAATAATGTCATCCCTACAAAACATTTCCTACACCCATCCACACTAGATATTTTCGCTATAATGTTTACCTTTAGCGTCACTTGGGATTCTTCCGGCGTCTCTATACCTATTTCTATAACCGTTGGTAATACTATTAAAATGAAAAAAAATAATACAAATATTAGAAAATACTCAAAATAGTATAGACATTAACAATATATATATATATATGGCAAATAACATAAAAGCCCTTAAATTTTAAAAAATATAAGTTTACCCTTGGACATGTTTTAAGTGCAACAAAATCAGATATTTTGTTTAATTTTTATATTTAGTATCATTTATCCAGTTTTCAGGTTACCTATCAGTTTCATGATGCCAGTAAAGTCCTTAAGTTATAAAAATGTTCGGATTTATCCTTGAGTTTTCAAAAATATTCGATTTTCTGTTACTTGATTATTATTATTATTATTATTATTATTGTTGTTGTTGTTGTTGTTGTTGTTGTTGTTATTATTATTATTATTATTATTGTCTTTCTTATTATTATGTATTTTTAATATGTTTTCAAAATGTATAAAACTACTTTATACATATACTTTTAAATGTATAAAAATATTTTTATAGATATAAATACATTTCTAAAAATATATGTATTTGTGTTTAACATTTATATAATTTGAAGCCTATGTATTCCTTTGAAATAAATTTATATATTAAAAATATATTTATTTGTTTATAATAGGTATAAATATATATTTATTTCATATAAAACCCTATACACACAAAATATAAAAATGCCTATTTATAAGGTTTATATTTTATCAAAGATATATTTATATTTATTTGTACATATTACAAAGTATATATATATATATATATTATATATATATATATATATATATATATATATATATATATATATATAATACATATAAACAAATTTCTTTTTATTCATCCAACACACAAAAAAAGGTTCTTGGTTTTTGCATACTAACTATAAATCTGTATTTATTTCATATTTATATGTATACGATAGTTTTTATACTATATATATATATATATATATATATATATATATATATATATATATATATATATTAAATACAAATAATTTGTTAATGTATAAATATGTTTTCAAATGTATAAATACAATTTTATTTGTATTTAATAGATATAAATATGTATTTATTTTGTATAAAAAGTATCGTATATGAATGTGGAATAAATACATATTTATATTGAGTAAGCAAACACCATTTTTTTCTTTGGTTGACGATTCACCCAACAAATTATGAAATGTTTCGTTTGTTTGTGTTTTACCATATAAATATGTATAAATACGTATTGTATATATATAAATATGAAATAAATATATATTTATACTTAGTATTATGTACAAATATATATATAATTATATCTTTTATACAATATAAACCTTATAAACATATATATTTTTATATTTCTATGTATATATATATATATATATATATATATATATATATATATATATATATATAGTAAATATAAATAAATATATTTTAAATATATAAATATATTTTTAAAGACATACATTGACTTCAAATGTATATAAATACTATATATAAGTAAATATATTTTTAAATATGTTTTTAAATCTATAAAATTATTTTTATATATTTAAAAACATATTAAACTTATAATAATAATAATAATAATAATAATAATAATAATAATAATAATGAAAATATAATAATAATCAAACTAATAGTAAATCTGAACATTTTTTAAAACTTAGGAGAAATCCAAATATTTTTGAAAATTTAAGGACTTTATTATCATCAGGTAACCGGTAGGTAACATGAAAACTGACTAAAATTGTATAAATGAATAAGTTAAACAAAACATCTGGTTTTAGTTAGCCTAAAAACACGTTCAATGATAAATTTGATATATATATATATATATATATATATATATATATATATATATATATATATATATATATATATATATATAAACATTAATAATATTGTGTTAAATGCTGTTAAAAATACAATCTAACACCGTTTAACTAAATACACTTTTGCTTGCACACAAGATTATTGATTGTGCAAGAATGTTAATTATCAAGAATTATTTGAAAATGGCATAACCTACATGCATAATAATAAAGACAAGAAAACATTAATCATGCATCTTTTACCTTACATGGTAATCTTCTAACTAGTTCACGTATATATAATGTAGGCATGTTTTATGGCGGCTTACACAATATTTGAACTAACATTTTGAGGATGCATATTATTAAAATTATAAAATAAGAAAGTATGTTTCACCATTGAGCAAGTTCATCAATATGTACCACAGAATGTAAACCACAATGTCCCAAGCACAATAAAAATGATATTTATGCTTTAATATGATGTATTTGTTTTGGATTTTAAGTTTCTTACGGCTAAAACACCCATATCTAGACATAATCTAAAATCACTTATATATATATATATATTATAATATATATATATATATATATATATATATATATATATATATATATATATATATATATATATATATATATAATGAGTATAAAAATTCATATAGAAAACCTAAAACACGCCTCTACGATTATATAAAAGATTGTATTACTTAGAATTTCATTTATTTTAACTGCAGATTAAATTGTGCATAATATATACCATGTTATTGTGGTTGCTTAGAGCATCCATAATGTATATACTATATAGTATAATGCAATGGTTAAAAGAATGGTTTTGTGATGCCATTGATTTTCAATGAATATGAATTCTAATGGCTAGATAACGATTGAATGAGAAAAAAAAAAACATTTTTAGTTTTAAATGATTACAAATAAATGATTCATTATAAAAATATGTTCCATTAAACTTTTAGTGCAATGTAAAAACTAGTAAGGCTATATGAAAAATGAAATGATTATATGATAATTAGTTAACTACACAAGTTCAATGTACTGGGGTTACTATTAGATTAATATCATCTAACTAAGAATGTTCGTTTTCGATTCGTTGCACTAATTTGAAAATTGAAATGCATATATATGTATGCTCATTTGCCACATTAATATGCGAATGATGATATTCATAATCGATGTAATTTTTCAGAAAACTACACTCTAATTCCAATCTATGGCTATCAAACAACAAGTCAATATCGGTCATTGTTCTTTCCTTCATGAATTAACGTCATTTACTTCTAAAAAGAATTCTTTGAATGCATTTCATCTTCAAACTTATCCTAACATGAATTTCAAGAAACAGACACTAAAAAAGCTACACACACAAAGAAAAAGAGACTACCCATCGTACCTTTCTCTTCCTTCTTCTTCTTCTCGCCCTTAGCCTTATGAGGTTTTCCTTTGGCAGCTTTCGGAGCCATGTTAAAAACCAATCAAGTTCACACAATGACCAAAATTCGGATTAAATTCGTTAAACATTCATAAAATCCATCACCCACATCCCTAAAATGAGTATAATTCAATCTCAGCAACTTTCAGCAATCAAGAAACCAAAATTCAATGAAGAGAATGAGAATATGATAGATTTCAAATGGAGGAAAGCGATACTTGAGAGAATAGTTAAGAAGAGAGTGAAGTAGGTTGAGTAAATGCGATAGTAAGAGGTGTATGTGGGATTGGTATTTGGTGGGAGAGATTTGCCGATGAGGAAATGAAATTAGGATTTAGGAGATGGCGGAGGTAGGATAGGATAAGGTAAAGCGGTTTTATACTGGTTCGCTCCTTTTAGAAGATGCAGTACAGGGCTCATTTACAAGTTACAAGTGAAGATGGCTGGCGATTTTAGGCCTCTAGTTTTAGTCTCATTTGTTGATGATAAATTAACATATATAATTTAATTAAGTGTAAGTTACGTTTTGATCTATGTGGTATATATTTTCTTCCGGTTTGTTCATAATTTTGAAAATTTGTCGCCACTATCCTCTTGATTGGTAATCTATCAGTTTTGGTCCCTACTTGAGTTACCACCAAGGCCCTTCTCTTAAATACTTATTAAATGACAAAAATGTCAATGCTTAGTATTTTCTGATTTTGTATTATTATTATTATTATTATTATTATTATTGGCCTCACTCTTGATCATTTTCCATTATACACCGCCACCATTTTCATCATTTTTCACACTATCATATACCACCACCAACAACATCATTTTCACAACCTATAACTCAAAACTAGATCTCGCTAAAATGTAAAACTGGAATGGACCAAACCTAGAATCTATAAATCAGAATTATAACGAAAGTATTACAGAATATCGAATCATAAAATTGTTAATGAGTGTGTAAAGTCACGCCTTTAGAATCCCATGAACTGATAAAGTGCATGAAAACATTTAATCTACAACTATAAACTAAAATTTAGTGAGTTCTTCAAAATATCACACACAGTACATATGACATCCCTAATTTTCACGATCTGAAAAGACCTTTTATTTATGCTTATTTTAAAACAAAGTATTCTTTATAAGTGCAAAATTTGTCTCATAAAAAAGTATTTCCGAAGAAATATTTTTCATTAATTATTAAAACTTGGGATGTCATAACTGATACAAAACATAAGCATAAACATAGTCATTACAAGCCTTACATTAACGTATTATACTATTGGCCTAAACTTATCGAATCTTTCAGTGGATTGTACGTTTGTACCGTTACCTATAATACAAAATAACTTAGTGTGTTAGGTTTGGGAGCTTGATGAACACATCGTGTTTTCAACCTACAATATTGTAATTATATATTTTTCACAATAAGCAAATAACTCGATTACTCATTCCCATTATTTTCACTCCTTGATCCTATGATGATGATGATATCGTTGGACCTATCCTAAAGGATTTATGTTAGTAGACAACACTACTGCGGGGAATCCGCAACAATAAGTGTCAATAAGGCAACCTTGAGGGCGATAGAGTAATCGAATGAAAATTTTTCATTTTTTCCCTGAAAAGTATGATCATTAACACCTACAAGTGGCAAATCTGCTAGTGCTCCACCAGACTATTAGAATAGTCAGTGGTCGTCATTTATACTATGTTAGATTACTGGTCGTGATAATACAAATAGTACAAGGCATGGCCTTTCACCATTATTTTATTTTCTTAAAACCCTTCACTACCCAATACAAATTTAAATAAGATAACATAATTTATATAGTAAAGTCATAGCATATTATTCCATATAACACATATATTGTCACACCCTCGGCCATCGGCGGAAATGCCAAGGTGTGTGACGTAAATCACTGATCCCGGTTATTAAAAATACATTGAGTAGTACAAATACAATATTCTATTATTACCAAAATAGAAATTACATTGACAATGACTATTGCTAAACCGCGACACACACCTAACAATTTGGCGTTTACAAAAGATATACTACAATAACATAAATTCTTCTATGCAAAATCTTCCGATCTGCCAATAAATCTAAGAATATATACATTAAGATACATCAAAAAAAATTGTTGGTGTATTCTACAGGTTTTGACATTGTTATAACCAAAAGTGTTTTATAAGATTTATTTGCTTGACCAGCTTTTATAAATATATACTTTTCAATCAAAAGCATAAAATAATCGAATTATAAAAATACATTTGGACTTATTTCAGAAATATCGTTTGCTCAAATCCAAAAGTATAAAATCTGGCAAAATACATATAAGTAAGCCAGACTTATATCAAATTCTATGGTTCTCAGGACCAAAATGCAATTTTATATATGGATTTTTAATACCAACTAATGTAAAATAAGATGTATCGCCCTTTGTGAAAACATAAAACATACAAATAATTTTATAGTTTATATGTAAAACTCATAGATCTTGAGTTTATAAAAACTTATAAGGTTGTGTCATAGTGTTTATTAAATGTCATCTTACTTAATTTGGGAACCGATATCTAAACAATGGAGCAAACTCCTCCCAAATAAATATAGCATTTTCGTACAAAAACAAAGGGTTTATATAAATAAATTATTATGTGTAAGTTAATAAACCTCATCCAATTGTGTTATGATATTAAATAAGTGTTATATGATTTAATTTCTAGTATTGATATCTTTCATTTTGAATCACAAACTATCCCACTATAGTCCTTTTCTACTAGTATAAGTGAACAAAAACCTTGTATAAACCCAATATCGATTCTATACTGTAACTAAACAAATATGGGATCTATAATAAGCTCATAACCAAACTGCGACACCTCTGCACCAACATTAAAAAGGGGCGTGCTAAAATTCCACAACACAAACATGGGAGTGCTAAAAGTTCCACACCAACGCTTTATCAAATTCGTGGAGTAATAGTGTAGAAACGTCAACACCAAACTCACATCGTCAAACGATGGTTGTAGCTAGCAACAAGTGGGCGAGATGCCAACCCATATAGATAAGCATCGTCGATTGAAAATTGTAAAAGAGGGGTCGTATGAACTCACATTTATAATATATTAGATTGTAGCTAGCAACATGTAGGGACAATTTTGATCAAACATTGCAACTAGAGAGGCTGTTTTACATTCTGAAACAAAAGATGGGCTGTTTTTGTTATTTATTTAACCAAAAGGGACTGGTTTTGTAATAAGTTAAATTAAAAGAGTTGGTTTGGTCTTTTAAATGAAAGGATGGGGTAGATTTAATTTAAATATACAAATAAAGAGGCTGGTTTTGCCTAATGACACATACAATGGAGACACCGGTCCTCTTCTAATCGGAAAAGAAGAAGATGAACGTAAACAAACAGAAAATGGTCCTGCAAACATAAACCAGAGGGAAGGATCTTTGATCCTTGACTGATTGAAGGAGAATAAGGAAACATAAATGGAAGGTAGCGATAGGGGAGCTCTGGTGGTCTGGAAGATCGTAAGGAGAGAGAAGGACCATCAACCACCTTCTCTGGCGAGCGTTTTCCTTTGTTTATTTACTTTGTCACCGACAACAACACAGGAGGGGAGGAGGAGCTAAACAATACTGTCGATCTTTTGGGAGGGGTGATTTGGCAACTCCAATCGATGGGAAGAATGAGGGAGGGAGAGAGGGAGTCAACCTTTCGTCGATGATTTGCAAACGAAAGGAACCGTAGGTGATCACCGACATCTATAGTGGTGAGGGAGGCTGCTCTAACAGCTTTCTTGTTGTTTCTTCTTTCTAATATGGTAGTACACACACAAAAGAAAATTTGTAGCAGGGAGTGTTTTTGGGGTGTTACGGGTGTAGTATCATGACAGGAGAGGGCGGAGGGAATACCACAACTGACTGCTCTCTGGTTTCCTTTTCTTCGTTGGGGTAGTAAGAAACTAGATAAGGCAGTTTATGGTCTAAAACAAGCACCACGAGCATGGTATGCAACTCTTACATCATTTTTGAAACAATCTAAATTTAAACAAGGATCTGTTGATCCCACACTATTTCGAAAGAAAGTGGGGAATCATCTTATGCTTGTTCAAATTTATGTTGATGGTATTATTTTTGGCTCGACTGACCCTGCTTTGTCTAGAGAATTTGAAAACTTGATGAAAAGCAAGTTTGAAATGAGCATGATGGGAAAAATCAATAATTTCCTTGGATTGAATATTCGTCAAAACAAAAAAGGGATTTTCATCAATCAGGAAAAATATACGAAAAATCTGCCTGAAAAGTTTGGATTGACGAATAGCACAAAGCTTCGTGTACCAATGGCAATGGGCATAAAGCTAACACCATCGTTAGACAAACGTGCTGTTGATATAACGTTATATAGGAGCATGATAGGTTCGTTACTTTATCTTACAGCAAGTCGACCTGATATCATGTTTTCTGTGTGTAATTGTGTTAGGTATCAGTATAATCTACGCGAACCACATCTTACTGCTGTGAAGAATATTTTTTGTTATCTTAAAGGCACTATTTCGCTATGATTGTGGTATCCTTCGAAAACAGGATTCTTCGTTCAAGCATACTTAGATGCCGACTTGGGTGGTTGTAATCTTGATCGAAAAAACATAAGTAGTGGATGTCAATTTCTTGATGGCAAACTAGTTAGTTGGCAGTCAAAAAAGCAAACATGTGTGTCGATTTCCACGGCTGAAGCAAAATATGTGGCTGCTGCTGCATGCACTTCGCAAATAATATGGATTCAAATTCAATTACGTGATTATGCAAATAATATGAAAACGATTCCATTATATTGTGATTCTCAAAGTGCAATAAGAATTTTTCATAATCCTATGTAGCATTCGAAGACTAAACACATAGCTCTTCGTTATCATTTCATTAATGATCACGTGAAGGATGGAAATGTTGAAGTACATTTCGTGAAAACAACTGGTCAGTTATGTAACGACCCAAAATTCAAGACCAAAAATTTCTTTTAATAAAACATTACTTTAAGCAAAGTCATCATTCCAAAACATAATCAGAGTATTAATTTTCAAAACACATGTTCGTTATCAGAGTAAAACATTCTCAGGTTGTCTAATCAATGGTGTGTGCCATGCGATCACCCCGAGCTCTTCCCTCCACTACCGGAAGTACCTGAAACCAAAACTGAAAATCATAAGCACGAAGCTTAGTGAGTTCCCCACCCTACCACATACCATGCATAACCACATACTGCACATATTGGGCCACACCCGCTATCTTGGGCCTCACCCCTTGCCTCGAGCCTCGCCCACTATAACGGCCCTGCCGCTCCAGGCCCCGCCTGGCTTCGAGCCCCGCTCGGATACATATATGTTTCACTTAGGCCTCGCCTGTCACAGGGCCCCGCCTGCCAACAAATAATAACACATAAACATATCACAACACATAAGCTAA